CTTGTTGAAAGAATTGTTTCGTTTTAATCTAATTTTATTTATGTATGTATATTTATATATATAATTTAGAAGATAACTTTTTTAAAAACAATCTAAAGAAAATTGATGTTGAAAATAATTGAGGATTTAATTATATTATATTTAATTATATTTACTTGTAGTAGATTTGTAATTGTAAAAGCGTATCCCTTAACCAAATGAAGATACCAGTAACTTTAATGCCTGTTATGTTATTAATTGATTTATATTTTTTTTATTTTTGATTGTATTATATTTTCATTAGGCGAAAAATTGTTTTATGATCATATTATAATAAATATTGGAATAAATATATTTTACATTATATTTATAAAATGTTAGAAAATTTAAAAGAAAAATATTTTTAAAAAATAAATTTCAAATATAGAATTATATCAATTTTCACAATTTTCTTAATTATAAATGCACGAATAATAAAATTACTTATTAATTATGTTTTAAAAAAATTATAAACTCTTCAAAAACAAATAAATATTCTTAGCCATAATATAAAAGCCATAATCTACTCTGGGTATTACTCTTTAGTAAAAAATATAATATATGTATATATATGTATATATATATATATAAAATTAATTATCTAAAACTCACATAATAAATTACACAACACAAAATATCAAATTCAAAATATCTATTCCAATTTAACCGATATAATAATATCCCTCAAATATTAAGTTTTGATTTGAACTTTTGATCATGACTAACCATCTTCATTCAAGTATCAATTCCCCCAGTTTTGATGGTTGAAGAATGTCGCGATGCAAGAAAGCAGCTCGTTGGAAACGTTACAATTCCGTGGAATCGTGCGTTACCATCGAAAGAGAGAGGGCGGGGTCCGGTTTTCTACGGGGTCCTGCGTAAATACCGTGGGCCTAATCAGTTGGAAGTGTAAGCCAATACCCAGGGTGTGCACTCGACGTACTGTGAGCTCTTCTACGCGACCCTTTTATTCTCCTCCTTCTTATATCCTCTCCCCTTTTCCTCGTTCTCACTTTCTCCTCTTCACTTTTCTCCTTGAATCTCCTGTTTCTTTTTTTTTTTTTTAATTTTTTCTTTTATTTTTAATTACATAACACATTTTTTCCCTTGTGTTTCATATACGTATAAGATATGATCGAACGTTACGTAGAATAAGATATGAATGACTGATTTCTTATGGAAAAATGTGAAAAAAAATATGAAACAAAATTTTTTTTCGTTCGAGATTTGAATTATGAGAAAAAAATCTAATTTTATTTTAAACTATCAAGAATAGATTTAAAAAGTTTATATGTTAAATTTTATTATGCTTAATAAAATTTTGTTATTGGATATGAAAGACTGAGATTCATTTATTTTTTTTTCTTTTTTTGATGTTTCAAAAATCTTAGTGAAAAAATAGTTATTGTATAATAGTTATTGCTTGTTTTGAATTTTAAACTTCCTTGTGATTTTATTACACTGTCAAAAAAATAATATTGCTAACAACTATTTTATTAATTAGTTCGTGGTGAATCTTCGGGGAAATTCGGTTTTCCCTTAGAAACTTAGTTCCTGAGCAAGAAAATTCTATTCTATACATTTTTTTCTCAATATTTCTTTAAGTATATTAATATAGAATAGAAAAAAAGTTATCGAAAACGATACGAATTTGATCCTCGATATATTCGATGGTTCACGTGGATGACACACGGTCGACGGCAAAACGCTGCCATACCGTGCGGTCGACTTCCTCTTCCTGTGTCCACATCGGAACTATACGTAGTCAGGTGTCCGGCCTGACGGTCGCGATTATGTCGAGACATTCGATAGTCGGATGCGCCTGCCCTCGTGAGAGGCAACACTTCCAGCTATCAGAAATTTCGCATTTTTTTCAAATTTTGACTGCCTTACTCATCCAACGGATCACTGCTTTTTTCATTCCGGAAATGACGCTTCCACCATCATTCCTCTTTTGGAACTCATGAGAAAAGAAAAATATCATTATGGAGAAATTCATTTCATAAATCATTGTCGCTGTTTTTTGTTTTAAACGTTTAAAAAATTACACGTAATTAAATAGTTATATAATTATTAATAGTTATATATTATTAATATATAATTAATAGTTATTAATAGTTATATATATAACTATCACTATATTATTATCTGTAAATCATTTGGTACATTTAGAATAGAGATGAATGAATGAGTTTATATTTCTTGAATTAAAGATAGAAAGATAGAATTATTTTACATTCAAGATCATATTGTAAATTTTATTGAGAAAAGTTCAGAGATGAAATATATTTAATTTAATCATAAAATTATAAATTTAATGATTAAAATTAAATAAAGATGGTTTTTAATATTGATTCTTCGATTTTTCGACGATCTGTAATATGCAACGTAAAATATAATTTTGTATGATATAAATAATTGGTGAAAAATTTTTACAAACTTTTCTAAAAAAAAGGTGTCTATTACAACTTAATAATAAAGCCAAAAGGCTTCATATTTAAACTCGATCTTAGCATTGCTATCAAGTTACGTGAATTTATAATGTTCAAATATTTGTATTAACGTAAACGTATTCGTGTGATTAAACCACAGGTTTCACACTCATTCTATCTCAATTTGTAAAACCTGCTGAGATTCCCGAAAGAATAGGGTAACAATCTCATCGGAACGCATAAAAGAAATTTTTGATCATTACAAAAAATTCAAATTGAACGATGAAACAAAAAAATCAAATAAAAATTTAATCGAAGATTTTTGATATGATTTGTTTGAAAAAAATTTATGATATCTTATCATATTGATTTTTCTTTTATCAAGAAAATATTATTTATAAAAATAAAATCGAATATTTCATCGCAAAATACATTTACACTTCATAATACAATACATTATACTTATATATCGAGACATACTGAATATTTTTCTAAGATATCGAGACGTTATAATGTGAATATGTATGTATCATATATATGTAAATTCTAAAGAAAAAAAAATCGGAAATTATAAAGTATTACTATTTAAACTATGCAGAAAATTTATATATTAATCAATTACATCAATGTTTGAAAACATATTTTGATATCTAAAATTTAGGAATTTATTTCTGGATGGATTTCTGAATGATTCAATTAATAATTTAAAAAAAATATATACATATCATGAATCATCGTATATATATATATATTGTATATAATGAATAATGAATATATATATATATATATCGACAGAAAGAGCAATCACATTATATAAAAGTAAAAACATTTGTAAATTGATAAACATAAAATTAACATACTAGTTTAATTTATTGCTAAATCTAACTTGTTATTCATTATATACGAGTTAATTATTATACGCTGCTCAAATCCTCCTAATACAGAATTGATTATTTATTTTTAATAGACAGTGTATTATATAATTATTTCTAATACAATTCAATTATAAAAATAGGCACGCTTGCGTATAAAATCATACTAGTCGAGAAACGACTTTGATGCAACGATGAAATAACTGAAAATTTACAAATATCGTTGAACGAAGGGTTTTTGCCCAAATCCTTTTAACCAAGATTCTAAATTTTTAACTTTTAATATTCTTATAACGATTCAAAATATACAAATTCCTTTTCTCTAGAATCGTATCTTTTTGCAATTGAATGAACAATATGATATTGCGTTTTTTTAGCAACCATAGGAAAACGGTACTTACACGCAACACGAAGAACTAGCTTACCCTTTGCCATCCAAAAATTCCAGCACAAGAAGAAACGCAACAAATGGCAAGAACCATTTCCAGTTACGGAGTGACGTGGAGCGACCGTTCGAAAAGGGTGGTTGAGGGTCGCAAGTGGAATAGGTAGCGTTGGAGTGTTTCGCAGCCGGGCTCACCGTTCACTGGTCAATAATCCACGAAAGGGAAGGCATTACAAGCGAGTGATCTCGAGGGTATCGGGGCCACTCGTCTGCAAGGCAGGACCACCATGATCGGCGTGGTAATGGTATCTGAAGAAAATAATATCCTACTTCCCCGTCCCGCCCTGGCAACAGGGGATATCGGTGTAGCGCTGAACCAGACTCGAAGAAGGCCCCCGATCACCGATCGCCGAATGAACGATTAGTATCTCATGTCGTCGGCATCGACGACGGCCAACCCGTGTATTCGAACGTCTTGAGTCTTACACGCCCGTGGACATGGATATCGTTCAAACCGTTCTTGCGTCCTCCTGATCGGCATTCTTTCCAAACTATGCTGCATCCTTTTATACATTGTAATAGATACGATGGAGAGTTTGATATGTTTTGAATGGATGATTTTGTTTTTCTCTTCTTTTGATCCTTGTGGTGAATGGATGTTTCTAGATCCACTGGTTTTTTTTAGATCCATTGAAAATATTGATATTCCAATGATTTTTCAGCAAAATAAATGTTGATTGTTGTTTTAATAATTGGTTCTGAAGGTCGATTTATTTTTTGATAGGGATTTTTCGGTGAAGAAATTAATATGATTTATTTTTTATAATAAGTATTTAAGTATGTTATAAATAGATGATAAGCATCTAATCAAGATTTTATATAGACTTTATATATTTCTTTTTTTAAGAATTAATTATAGATTTAACTCTATGTTTCAAGTTTTAATTTTTTCGTCATATTTTTAATGAATATTCTTCCGAACGTTAGAAAACTATTATTAAAGTCGTGTCTAGTCTTTGTATCATTCTAGAAAAAATATTGCCATTGATAAATTATGTAAAATATTCCAATAAACATATTATAACTATATATATTTATATTAAAATAAATTTTATAAATCTATATTTATATATTTTTCATTATGATATAGAATTTAAGGATTCATAATTGCTATAAACAGACTAGTGTATAAAATTAATCATTTGAAATAAATTTTAAGTAAAATAAATTAAATGATTTCTGAATACCATAACACGTGAAATATAAAATAATTCATAATTTTTAGTTATATAGTATTATATAAAGTTAGAAAAAAGGCTAACTTATTTATTCACTGATCTACATATAGCAACATTTACAATGTAAAATTTGTATTATCATCGCTTTTCTAAATCTCTATTAAATCACTCTGATCAGATTAATTTTAACCAATTCCGATATTATTCCATGCCACTCAAAATAACCGAATGCAAATCGTTGCATTCATATTCAACTTTAAGCAAAATTGAAAATCTTGCAAATCTCTTTAGCAAACACCTTACGGTGGAAGCATGGAAGGTTAACGTTATTTAAGGTAGGGGTAAGCACATGTGGAAGAGGAGGATGATGATATGTGCGTGGAACAAGGCAAATACGATGAAGGAAAAAAGAGAGCGACGAAAAGGCCGGCCCGTAGTGGAGTGGGGTCGAAGCAGTAGTCAGTGAGTAAGGGGTGAGAGTGGGTGATAGTAGGTGGTAGATCTCTAGTTAGCTAAGACACATTGACAAGCCATCGCGCCAGCATGACAGTAGCATACGGCAGTGCCATCCCTTAAAATTTCCTTTTCTTGCCTCAAGATTGACCTAAGTTGGAGAAATTTCAAGAATATCTTAGTTCAAGTTAAAAATTAAAATTTAGTGTGATTGAAGTTAACTTACATTAGTGATTTAATCTGTTTTCTTTAAATTCTTCTTAATGACCCAAGTGTGTTTAATGACAGAGAAAATGTGCAAAGTGTGATTATGTCTTCTTTGTGCTTCAAAATTAGACTGAAAATTTAATTGTGAGACAGTGTAGGTAAAACGTGTTTTATATACTTATTGAAATTAAAAAGAAAAAGAATTTTCAAAAATGTTTGAGAAAAAAATAAAAAGTTTATACAAAAACAGAAAGAAGAACAAAGATTACTGTTAAGAAAAACGGTGCAAAAATGTTACAAAGTTAAATATTTATTAATATAAATATAAAACAATAATTTAGATATAGATTGTGTTAAATATAAAAGTTTAAGATTAAAATATATTCAAATTTTAGATATATATTGTATAACAAATATTATATACTTGTTATATCTCATAATTATTTGTTCATCACTAAATAATTAGAAGAAAGTAAAAGTTTCAAAATGAAAAAGTGTAGAGACATTTATTGAGAAAAAAAAAGCAGACAAAACGTAAATTTTGGAGTAATTGATGATTATTTAAATCGTCGAAAATGGAGAAGTGAATCACGTGGAAAGATGCACATGGTTTTCAGACTATGAATGAAAATATCCGGCAGATTTTCTGCAGAAGCCTTTAGAGGAAACCGGCAGGTCTTCCAAGCCATAAAGGTACTTCTATACGTTCGGTCCATATGCACGTGCATTTTCCTTTCAGCCATTCATAAAAAGTCATTCATAAAATTCGCTGATTTTTTTATGATTTTATTCTTATTCTTCAAACAATATTACATGACTGATCTACGTTATATTAATATTTCTTGGATAACTCTAAATACTTAAGAATAATAAAGAAATCGTTGAATACTTGAAATGGATATAACTATAACGATGGAATATCCTATATTCTATATCGTTTAATGGTTCTAAAATTTCGTTATAATATACATTGACATGTATGATATTGAATGTTAATATAATGGTGCAACGAAGATAAAGTTGTTGTTTTATACTAATTTTTATGTTTATTATAGTCTTTAAAATTGGCATAATTCATTTGTATCTTCCACGAATATCCTGTATTTGTATGTATGCATAATTATAAATATGTACATTATATTTAAATTTTATATTTTATTTATTCGTATTAAAATATATTTGTATATTGCAGTATTTCGATTTAATGAGAAAAACTATTGGTTATAATATTCGTTCGTACTGTTATAAAGTCCCTTATAGAATTATCCTATTAATAACATAATATAAAAAAAAATAAGTAAAAATAGTAAAAATATATACTGTATATATAGAATTAAAAATTTATTTTCTATAAAAAATAAAAAATAAACATTTTTTATATTAAGTTTCAACAATTTTATGTAAAATATTAAGTTTCAATAATAATAATACGAATTTATATTTACATTGCAATTTTTAAAAATACATAATAAGTATATATTTTTCAAAAATCTCTAATAAGAAATAAAAATCACTTTTTCAAAGTACTACTCATCTGTTTTTCTATTTTCTTTCAATAAATAACTAATTTCCACTAATTAAATAACTAAAAAAATTAACATAGGAATAGCAATGCAAATTTTTAAATTTCTTTTAGATTCCTTTAAAAAAAAAAATATTACTCACCTATAATTTTCCAAATCTTGTTTAACATTCAAGTTCTGAAAAATATATAAAATATATAATATATATAAATATATACAAAGTATTACTAGAGGAAATAAGAAATGCACAATTTTTATGTATGTATCAATAACACAAAAGAAAATCATCTCAAAAAGAATAAAATATTAAAAATATATATTTCATGATATACATATACATATATATGAGCAATCAAGGAAATGATGGAAATAGTTGTGAAAAATATCGTGAAAAATATTGATAAAGAAAATCGGTCATACTCACGGAGCAATGTGCGGTTGCTAGGGAGACCAGAGGGGCTGGACCACATCTCTACAGAGAGGAGGCAATCCGTCCGCGTATTTTATCGAGGCGGGGAAAGGGGTTGTCTCTAAGGGCGGTTACGAGCAGAAATTTCGCAGAGATGGAGTTTCTGCAGAATCACCACACGGTGAACACCTCCGAATCGCCGTACACCCTTGGCACAGGTGAGCCATAATATTTCTAACAAAGAAAGTATTCCAATTATTATGTATGAGATTTAAGACTTAAGATGAAAGATTTATATTATCATTTATTAAGGAAGAAAAACATTTTAATATTATAAAATGATTTTAGTGATCTAAATGATCGTTAGAAACCTATTTTTTCCATTATATATTTTTCCATTGTGTTCTTATTTTTATGGAATGTATATGGAATCTCTATCTTACATTTCAGATTTTATGCAAATTTTACAATAATTTTTTAATATAACATAAATTCATAAGAATTGAAATTGATAAATATTTTGATAAAGATATCTATTGATTTTTATTAGATTATTTCAATATATATTTGTATTTCAATATATTTTTATTATTCAATATCTCCTTTTCTTATTTTTTTTTATTATTTTTTAAATTTGCATGTTTAATATCGGAATTGATATAATTTTATATATTTGTCGCTCTTTTAATTTATTCATTATTGTAATATTCTTGTCTGTTTTCTTATATATTTCTTTTAAATGAAAGCTGTTAATAGAGTTAATAGTAATTTTTTATTATTTTATTATAAATTTAAAAAATAAGTCAACAACATTTAAATTTAAAACATTAGCAATTATTTTTCTTAATAAAAAGTTATTTTTCTTTTAATTTTTACTTTAAATTTTTAAATATTAAAATATTCATTTTCATAACATTTTCATTCATTTAAATAATAATTTTAGAATTTAAAATTCTATGTTTTTTCACTTATATTTCATTTATTATGTAATATATAAATATACTATATAATATAAATAATAATGAAAATAATATAATATTTATTATATCAAATAAATTATTAACAATTATTTTGAATTTTAGAAAAAAAAGTTTTTAGAAGAAAATTTCAAGATTTACAAATTTATATTTCTTTCTTTTTAATTTTAATAAAAATACTTATTAGGTAATTGTGATCTACTTTAAAAGAATTATTATATTTTTTTTTAATCCTAAAATTTAATTTAATCTAACATTTTTTTCGAATAATTCTTCGCAGGTTCGGTAGGAAGTATCGAGGCCACTATACCTTCTGGTCTCTGTACCGGATCTTTAGGTGTTCTAACCAGTGAAGACACCTTAACAGATAATCAAAACGAAGAAACATTAGGTGCTCTACAGGGCACTCTTCGTTTACAAGATTTGCAGAACTCTGCAGAAGATATTGGTGGCGATCAAACTCAACAAATTCAAAATTCTGGACAGAATCAAGTGGTTAGTGAGTTTGGGGCGAGTTTCTGGGTCGATGATATGGCTGGTTTTCCATTGCCGCCGCTGGATTTGGATCCTTTACCACCTGGTCTCTTCAGCCCATGCTCGGGAACCTATAAGTGAGTCGCAGAAAATGTTTTTTCAAAAAAAAAAATCTCTATTTTTATTCTCAAAATTACATAAAGTATACTCGAGTTTTCATTTAATGCATCAAATTAACTTCACTTCATACATCTTGTAAATTCACAATTCGATATTTTTACTTTAAAATTTAAATTTGTTTTTCCACTTAAATATATTATATTACATTTAAATATATATATATATATATATTATATATAATTATCACGTGAATTAAAATGATATTTATAAATTTAGAATAAAATTTAAAAACATATTTACTTAATCTTGAAATCAAATAAAACTAATAATAATATTAATCAACAATGTAACAATGAATTTTAAAATCATACCTCTATAAAAATCGAAGAAACTAAACTATAAACTAATTTATAAGTAATAGTTTCTTTTTTTTTATAATTTTTTATGTAATTTTTATTAAATATTTGTAATTTTGTTAAGACTTAATCTTGTAGTAAGATATGTATATGTCTGATTAAAAACAGATATTTCCACTTAAAACTATATTACTATTTATTTATCTCTAAAAAATAAAAAAAAATTACAAAATATTTTTGTATAAACGTAATAAATATAATATAAAGTTAATATTAATTGCAGCCATACAAAAAGTCTATTTTTTTAATAACTCTAATAACAACAAGTAATTCATATTAAAGTAAATTTTTCAATTTTTAAATTTCATTCATTTATTAAAGAAACAATAAAAATAATTTTAAGATTATGAATTCAAAAATTGAAAAATAATTAAAATAATCAGTTTTGAATAGAATTTTCAATATTTTCATTCTTCATTATTTCTGAGATAATAAACGAGGTTCCTTGAAACAAAAAAAAAGAATATAAAGAAGCACATAGAATTAAAAATAATTATAACGTTGTATTCGATGTACCTTGTAATTTTTAAGTGTTCTTGCAGTTGGGGTTGCACCAGAGGAGAATGCGCGCCAAGAACAAACACGAACGGGGAAGGTGTCGCAGATGTATTACTATCGTTAAAACATGCGGTAGTTCATCCTGGAAGTCCTACTGGAGGATACTACTCAACAGGAGGATCGAATCATCATTATTCCCAGGATTACACGCAAAATCTTGGTCCACCTGTACCACCCACGCATTATACTTCCACACCAGCCATGTCTGTCAATGTTTCCATGAATATGACCATGAACATGAATATGCACTCTGGGTGAGTATTATTTTCAAATCAGATATTCTTAATTTTTTAATGTAAAAAAATAAATTTAAAAATGATTCGCTATTATAAATATAAAAATAATTATCAATGTTTTTTTTTACTATTCTTAGAAAAACTAAATTCTAAAATTTCTTTAAAAAAAAAAATATTCAATTTATCATACAAATGTAAGAATATTTTAATATGATAAATAATTCAATAGTATGAAATAAAATACTTTCTCATGCGAAAATCATGATAATTATTAAAATTTTCATCATTATTATATTTTTATTATTATTTAGAAATACATAGATATTCATATTTTTTTAAATCATTTTTATGTAGAGAAAATGTTTGCTAGAAATTGACATTTTATTGGAAGCCGTATAAAATATAAAGTAAATCAATAAGTGCCTAGCATTCCATGATTCTATTCGAAAAAGGAATGAATTATTTTTAATTGCATATTCACATAATAAAATATCATTTTTTGTCACTATTATTCACTATTTAAATATATATATTATATAACTATATAATATAACTATTTTATAACTAATTTAAAATATTTATTTTTTAATATTATATTATTTTTTAAAAATATTATATGATTTCTTTTACAATATATTTAAAATTATTGTAAAAATACAACAATTTCCAAAAATTTTTTTAAATTTATTCATAATATCACAATAGATATATTATTTAATATAAGAATTTAAATAATTTAAAAAATTCTATTATATATCGAATATATATAATTCATATAATATTTTCTTCTATCATATAAAAATTATATTTTTTTTATTCTTACCTTTTTAAATAATTATAAAATAATATAGAGCTCAAAATTATTGAATAACTTTGAGATAGAAAAAAGATATTGAGATAGAAAAGTAATAGATAGGTATACAATAATAATAATATTCTTATTGAATATTTAATTCACCTAACAGATAAATATATATAATTACTGAATCTCTTAAAAAATCCTTAAAAAACATTTACATATATAATAAAAATATTATATATAAAATATTTTAAAATATTAAATAACTTATTTTACAACAAAAACATTTTACCAAATATCCTCCGATAATTTCCAACAAGCAATGTAATCTTTTCATTTTCGAGTAACACATTTTTCAAAATAATTTTGAAACGGAATAATCTTTTACTATTTTACTTTACGAAAAGGGTGTGTCTAAAAGGATGCAAAAGCAGAGTTATTCAGGAAATTTACGGTTGTGTGCGTAGATACGAGCAAAGCTATTCGTCGACATGGGGCGTGGAACCCCTGTTAAGTCCCGCCCCACAGTATAATCCCGTGGAGCAGCAAGCAAGGGTGAATCAACCCCCGGCCAATAGCCTGATCGGCACCAGTACTCATCCTCATTCTCATCCTCCAGCGCACAGCCATTCCAGATTGCAATTGTCCAGTGAGCATGCTCTGTGCATAGGCGCCACCGGAAATCCAGTCACATCCGACGATAATGGCAGACCTAACCTTTGCAGAATTTGCGGCAAATCGTACGCGAGACCGAGCACCCTTAAGACGCATCTTAGAACGCACTCTGGAGAAAAACCATTTAGGTTAGTGATGAGACTACTTCGATTATCGCTCGATAACATATCGATAAAAATTCATTTTTATTTGATAATTTGATATTTTACGTTTAATTAATATTGACTGAAAAATTAAGAATAAAATTTAATTTAAGGAACTATTTATTTTTTATCTATTCTTCTATTAATCGATAGATTTTGACAAATCGAATCCAAAAATAGTTTCAATTTTAAGAATTTTAATATCATAAGTTATATACTTTAAAAAAGCATATTATTAACGCATATATTTCTAATGAGATGAGTCAATAGTTTCAGATAAGATATTTATATCTGTATGGTAATAAGAAATAGATATCTTACGTATATACGTTGATATAACTGTAGGTAATATAGGTCTCTATTTGTGCATTCCAAATGAGATATCAATTAAATCTTTATTGATATGATTAAATAAAATAAAAATCAAATTTAATTTATATTCGATTTATAATGTCTAAGGATTATTTTAATTATATTAATTCTATTCTATAACTTGAAATAGATTAATATCATGTGTAAAATATTCATAATTTTTAATATATAAATTCCTAAAGATAAAATTGGTATATTTAAATTATATATTTATCAAAATCTATCAATTGATAAAAAATAAATGATTCTCTAAACTTTAATCTTAAGATGAAATATTCATAGATATTAAAAATCTTGGTAATTAATTAAAAAAATTAATTATTGTAATAAATTAAGATTATTTGTTGATTTATTTTATCGACTATAAATAGAATAATATGTATAAAACAATTTAAATTCAATAAATATTTTAGAAAATATTGAAAATATAAGATAATATTACCATGTTATTTATAGGGTTAGCAAAATTGAAGTAAAAGTTAAATTAAATATGATAATTTGATAAATATTTTTAAAAATTAATAAATATTTTATTCTAATTAATATTATCAAAAATACTTTGAACCATTGTATGTAAATAATTATTCTGATTTTTTAACATTATTCGCGAGACTATCATTAGTATTATTACTTTAGGTTAGGTTTAAAACTTTGATATTAAAATTAAATGATACAGATTTAATATGAAGTTAATACCTTTTTGTTAAGATAATTTTTGTAAATACAATTAATTCACAAATTTTTTAGACAAAATACTTACAGCCATTTTTCCTATAAATTGTTTTTCGCAATTACAGTACTTAAATTTCAAATAGAACAAACAAATTATGAATATAAATTTTGTAACCGATATGTCATAACATCGTTATCTTAAAATCAAAATTTAACGCATGATATTAAAAATATCTAATATCTAAAAATATATATGTTTAAATGTAATATCTTAGTATCAAAGTTGATCTATGGTCAAAAATAATGTTATAATAACAAATGAACGTTATGTATGACAGATTGATGTGTCAAGACGATCTTCCAATAAAATCTTAAAATTCAAAATTTTTGATGCAATAATTTTGCTAATATTATTTTATATTTACAAAATATTTAAAAATTTACATTTTTTTTAGATGTCACGCGTGTTCAAAGGCATTCAGTCAAGCCGCGAATTTGACTGCTCACGCAAGAACTCATTCCGGAGAAAAACCATTTCGATGTCCAGTGTGCGATCGAAGATTTTCGCAAAGCAGTTCCGTAACCACACATATGAGAACGCATTCAGGAGAACGTCCATATAGGTGAATTTTATATTATTATATGAATTATTACTTATATACCATAATATGTGCCACTTAAACCAATATATCGTTATTTGGAAATATTTGCATCTTACTGCATACAAAAAGAAGATAAAAAAATGTTTAATAACTACTCCTAATTATATAAAATTATTTTCTTAAATTTATATAAATTACTTCCAAGTAACGATTAGCAACATAATTATATTAAAGAACAACTACTTTTGTAGTTCTCTTAATCAATTTACCTTATAATCGGCAACCTCTTTTTTTCCAGATGTCGATTCTGCAAAAAAGCATTTTCAGATAGCTCTACATTAACCAAACATCTTCGTATTCATTCTGGTGAGAAACCGTATCAATGTAAGCTGTGCTTGCTGAGGTTTAGCCAAAGCGGTAATCTCAACAGGCATATGAGAGTCCATGGCGGTTCTCTAACGTGACACAACTCAATATCGATTATCGATAGCAATCGCGTTCTATTGCGATGTTGTCGAATACCTGTGATTCAACTTGGTTCGAGCTTACCGGCAAAAATGTAAAATAAAATAATATAGTCGATACTTTAAGAGTTCTGCTTCCTGACTGACTCAAATTTGCAAAGCGTTCGTACGAACACTTGATTATTTAAGGGCTTATATTTGGATATTTTTTTAAACGATATACAAGACAAGTAATAATCACAATATGTGTTATATTTGGCATTAGGAACTCGTCAAGAATTCATTTTATATATATGTATATCATCATCATCGTTGTCGTCATCATTATCTTTTGAATTGAAATCGAAAAAAATAAAAAACAAAATGCGTTGGCACCGTTATAATTTTAGAAAATATTCACTTCTGAAATTTCCTAGTTGTTTGTTCGTTTATATTTATGAATTGCTTACAAAAAGGTCAGGATAGGTTAACAGGGAATCGCAGATTTAGACCTACAGCATCCACCACAGCACCGTTGATTATTGTACAAATATTGTATTTATTATAATTATTATTAATTATAATATTAATGTTGCTGTTTTCACCATCTTCAATTCTCATTACGTGGCTTTTTCTTTATCAATTTGCTTCTTTTTGTAATTGTAAAATAAAGATGTTTTGGCGCCATTTTCATCAAGAAAAAAAGAAAAGAAGAACGACCTCTCTTATATATAATAAATATATATATTATATATAAAATATATATATAATATATATAATATTCGTATGAGAACAACTAATTAAAAAGGATGAATGAATATGTGAGTTTTTTTTTGTTTGTAATCCCACAGCATCAGGACCCACATATCTTATAGAAAGAGGGGAGAAAAGGAGGTTTCATGTTCGCCGGCTGATAATTAGAGCGTAGATACTGATTCATGAATCCTCGCATTAATTTACCTCTCTTCACAATTAAAACTATATAAAAACAACTTTCTCTCTTTTTCATTTAGAGTAATGTTCCTATTCATTCGTCAAAATTCTCTCATTCACTCTTTCTATCTTTATATATATATATATATATTATATATATTATATATATATATATAATGATGTATTTATAAGTAATAATATTCTTGAAAAAAAAAAAAAAAGAAAGAAAACGTATGTATGCTTAATGTTTCTACGTTATGTACCGATACGATTTGTCACAACGCAAGTTGATCCTCAAATATCTATATTGGAGTCTTCTAAATAAGCATGCAGCTTTCTGGACCATCTTGTCATGCGACGAATGTATCATATGTGTGTGTACGTAGCGTATTTCTATTTAAAACTGTATAATGTTATCTCTGTCACACTGTATATGTCTCTCTGTGATGCTTATGTTTTCATTTCTTCTCTCTCTTTCTCTCTCTCTCTTATTCGCTCGGTCGCTCGTTCGCTCACTCTCATTCCTACATCGTCTCATATTTATCGATCAAATGTTGTTCGGTAATCTGATCTCTATAACAGTTGGAATGGTTTGTTATTCGCTTGTGAAAGCTCTGAAGCAAAAGCTTGTGTAAGGTGCATATTTATCCCAGAAGCAACGATGAATAATACCAAACAACTCAGTCTATTTTTAGTATCTTCTTTGATGACTTTAAATAACATTAAAAAAAAAGAAAAAAAAAAAAAAAAAGAAAAAAAAAAGAAAAAAAAAGAAAAAAAGAAGAAATCTTTTTTTCTGACATAATATAACACATATATCGATCATTGAAAACTGAAAAATTAATCCTTCATACCTATGTATATATATATATATCACTTTTCTTCTCACAATTTGCACTCCTCTTGAAACACGGACACGCAGTGTGTTGGAGAGTTGAATGCTCTTTACAACTGCACGACTATTTCGAAATAACGTCTAAAATTAATGACCAACGCCATTACGATGATCCGCAATTATACACGATGATTATGACGACGATTAACCATCACGATAAATTTTACTTTCTCTCCGACGAACGAAATGATACAAAGAAACCGAATAGATATGTGTGTCTCTAAAATAGATCTTTCATAATTTTCTTTTTCTTTTTTTTTCTTTTTTATTTAATTATTATCATCGCTTTTAATAATTTTTCCTCAAAAAATTGTCCATTTTTCTTTTCTTTCATTTTTTTTTTTTTTTTTTTTTTTTTAATGATTCATCTTTCGATAATATATTCAAATGTTCTTAACATCGCATTTTTACTTTACTTAATACAATAATTAATCATATTATAATTATCAATTAATAAAACTTGTTTCTGTTCGTACTACCTTTCGCTCGTATATTCTTTCGTTCTCTCTTCCGTACACCATTTCACTCACTTAAAGATTGCTAACCAATAGATATATTTTTTCTGAAACAATAAGTGGTTTTCTGTCCCTTTCGGAAAACACAAAAATATTCTGTATCAAAACGCCACTTATCGATGTTACTTATTATTATTATCATTATTTATGAATTTAATCACTTCTGATGAAGATGCTGCATTTAATTACGGAACGTTAAGGCATTCGTAAGTGTAATTTGAAAGAAGTACAAAAATAGATGCCACAAAAATCAAAGATGACACATTTTTTCAGTTTATTAAAGCAACTCGTTTCTTCATTCTTCTTTATACATTCGCGCATACTGATCTTATCGTCATCAATAAATTTTCAGGAATAAACAATGTTCGTGGAAAGAAAAAAACCAAATCTTTTTATTATAAACAAATTATTACATATCATATCTCATTCAAAATATATCTTTAATTTATTATTATTCTTAATACATAATGAAAAAAAAAAATTTAATCTTAAGTTTTATATATTTCTGTAACTTAAACGGTATTGCATCTATGTATACTTTAAATTTTATGTAAAAAATAAAAAGAAAGACTTATAACTGGTAGAATCGGAATAATATTAAAAATTTATAAAATTTTGTTTATCAAGAATTGTTTTCTTTCTTTTTCACGAATATCGTTCTCCTCTTTCAAAGTTTTGTAATACATATTTCTTTCACCGATTGGTGCATGATAGATAAACAAATCTTATTTTGATTATACACGAATATTTTAAGGCAATTGAAATGCACCTACTTGCATTAATAATCGGCATTTAAAAATACGAATAAATCAGGCATTCAGTTTTACGAAGTTCTACTCAGTACTATCAACAACATAGTGATGTACTCACACGCTTGAGAATGCCCCAACGATTACATTACTTCTTTATAGTTTTCTTCGTTACCTTTATTCACTTTTACCACAGATAAGATATATTACTGATTTCATATTTTCTTTTATCACGGATTCATTTACGCAGCATTTTCATGATCTTTGAGTAAAACATAAAAGTGTATTTGTGAGCAACTACATTCTTCATTTTAATATAATATACTAACACTGAGAGTTACAACGTCCACGAAAGAAATAAAGTTGGTAAAATTACTCAAATTACTCAATTGCCAAATTATATATTTGTGTGTATATATATATATATATGTACTACTATATACGTATCATATATATATATATGTACATGTATATGTATATATGTACATATATATAATATATATTATATATATATATATTATATATATATATGTATGCTCTCGGAAGTATGCTTCTTTTTTTTTTTTTTTTTTTTTTTTTTTTTTTTTTTTTTTTTTTNTTTTTTTTTTTTTTTTTTTTTTTTTTTTTAAGAAACAAAAATTAAAAGAGCATGCGCGAACCCAAATACAGTGTGGCAAAATAATACATGACTTCGCTAAAATGATATTTCACGTTTTGAATGAAAGAGTATGATGGAATAAAACATATAATATATATATAAATATATATAAATATTTATATATGTATATATATATATATGCGTATGTATACATTTATATATCGAACAGGAAGATTTTTTTTTAATTATGGTATTAGATGTTTTCATGAAATATTAAATTATTATATAGTGCAAAAAAATTACAAATGAAACTAATGCAAGTATAAAATAAAAAATTCTGGAATAATTTTTATTCCCTACGTCTTATTAAACTTATTCAACTGGAAGAAAAATATCATAGATAAAACTACAAGATATTTATATTAAACTCATATCAACTCACGCTTTTCTATGTGCCAGATGTTGCAATGTTACCCATGTTTGATTTGTACTCTATGACTAGCCAATGTACTTCTCGATGCTGCAGATATCATTAGAAAAGAAAAAACTGATCATGGGCTCAAGGAACTAATTACCAATCTTTATCGATTGAATCAAACTTTAATCAAACTTTGATAAAAAAAAAAGGAAAAAAAAAAAAACAAAAAAAAAATGAAAATTTATTTTCTTCATCTTTTCTCTTTCTTCTTGATTTGCATTGTCTAAAGTGCAGTTAAGTATGAAGTGAATTATACAAAATTACGACACGAAAATTCTTACCCGCCGTTTCCTCTTTTAGCCACATTTTATAAGCTGTCATTATTACTGCCCAACTGTATTTGGTTTGGTCACAACGTTACATCAAATGCACTATTCCAAGAGTCCAGCAAACATAGACTCAAGCTCATATATATGCACAGCATTCACACATAACAAACATACTTTACGCTGATGCGTACACATAAAACATATGTATGATTTTAAGAACACACGTTTTAAACGCACGCACAGCAAACAAGGCTAACCTTGCTCGTTCTCATTCTCTCTCTTTCTCTCTCTCTCTCTCTTTCTTACTCTCTCTTTCTCTCTTCATATCTCTCTCTCTTTCTCTCTCCTTTTCATTTATTCTCTTTCTTACATTTTCTTTCTCTCCATTTTGTTCTCTCACTTTCTCGCTCTCGCTCGTTCTCTCTCTCGCTCTCTCTCTCGCGCTTTCTCTCTCTCTTTCTCTCTTCCTTTCTCTCTCTTGTTCTTTCTTCCCGCCTACCCCCCGTTCTCTCATTTCACTCTTTCTCAAGGATGGATTCCCTCGAGTTCTTCGGAAGCAGCGGACAGATTTTTGGGGCACATCGTGCACGACACACGTTAGTCAATCGGCCATTTGTCGTCGGAGGTCGTGTATGAATGGCTAAGGGAAATTAGATCGGAGGGTGGTGCTGGAGTGGACGTCGGGGGTTCAAGGTCAACGAGGGCTCGGTGCAGGTGGGCTTGGCCGGGGGTCAGGCTCGCTCACTATGCTGTGTGGTATACCGGTTAATCCACCAGTAGGAGGAGCTGAAGTAGGGCCTCCAGCCCCACCGCCGCCTACCGTTGGACCCGTAGGGCCTGTAGGACCCCCGGCGCCTGCACCGCCTGCAGAGGAGTTCGGTCCGCCACCACCCCCACCACCACCGCCGCCGACGACGGAATGCCCACCAGGAGGTGGGGGTGCAGAATCGTGAGGAGTCGTTGAATGCGCCTGTTGAACGGGCAGCCCCCCGGAATAGTATCCGCCGTTGATTCCCTCAGGGTAGCTGCTGGAGAAAGCGAAAAGAAATTGGCCACTTCGATAAATGCCTTTTACAAAGTGCCCAATCGATCTTAGGAAATCCAAAGGTTCGAACGCTTCTAACCACGTTACTTTACACACTCGATTCTCTTTCCATGTAATACGAGTTAACATCTGCTTGAAAATCTGTTTCTGTAAAAATTATGATATCTTTTTCCCCGGTGTAAGAGAAACAAATGCAACGTTACTAAAAAAGTAATACCCTACGCTGATTTCTTTTTTATTATTATTTTTTCTATTTCTTTTCTTCTTTTTTTTTTTTTTTTTTTGTTGCTTTAAATTAAGCTGAATTCTGTTTATTTAACATACGGACGAAGCTTACCCGGTCGAAGAAAGGAAGTATTCCTTGTTCACACAGTTTCGTAAGCAGTCAGGTATGCGACCAACGATAGCTCTTCGTATTTCACTGGCTGCCATCTCACGAAGTTCCGTGCAGCTTGCGTCGCTGTAAAATGCTGCGTGTGGTGTGCACAATAGATTGGGTGCGTCTTTTAATGGACCTATAACATACAATAAATATACTATATTACTATTTCTTTAATATTCGTAAAATTAATCAATTTTTTAATTGTTTAATTTTACAAATTATTTTGATAATGCAATATTAATAAAAGCAAATCTATTTTTATACTACCTATATTTATATTTTATATATAAATATAATACTTATAATAATTTGTACAATAATACATATGATTCATTAATGAACTCATTAGAATTGAATGTACTACACGTCAATGAATCATTAAAAAATCGTCATCAAATTCTGAGTATGATATAGTATATTTCAAAAAACAACATTTCTTAACTTTTAACTTAAAATGCATAATAATATTTGGCATTATAATAATTAAATCAATAATAATTTATTTAATGCTTCTTAATTATCACCTTTCTTTATGTATTTATTCTTAATATAAAAATTATCCTTTTTATATATTTTATATAATTAAATTAAGATTTAATTTAATTATTTTGTAATATAAGTTTTATTATTTCAAAATAATTTCTATTTATAATAAAAAATATATATTTTATGGTACTGTAAATGAATGAAAATAATCGGTATTGTTACATAGATTAAAAAGTTATTTTTATTGTCAAACGTTACCTCTGTCGCATAAGCTTATCCAATAGCGAAAGAAAATAGACGATGAAGGGAAAATATTAATCACGTGAGAGAAGGT